GGGTACCAATGATCTTCTGAGCAGTTTTAATCACCCGCTGCAGAGCCCTCTGGTCCTGGGCCGTGCACATCCCATGAGTGATATTTCCAGTCAGGATCCTTTCTATTGCTCCTCTGTCAACAGACATGTCTGTCTGGCTAACAAGCTTACGGTAATAACTGAGCATTACACAATACACAAGTGAAGATAACCAGGTACTGAGTCGGAGCCACAAGATTTTTAGTGAGCAAAGACAATACAGCTGCTTTAAGATGAAGCAAACACTTCCTACATATGCATTAAATTGAGATTAAGGCTTCAACTGAATTATAGTGAAATTATTTTATGATCCATTTTATTACTGCATTAAAACTCCACACCAATGACATTAACTCTTATTTCTTTTGGTTTGTACTATTGTCCCTCACAGGGCACTCATTACAATAGCTCCGAATTTCACATCTTCATGTTTCAGTTCTCTGGTTTCAGGTCATGTGAGATCAAATTAACCCTTCGATGTCTCAGCAAACATGACAGATCATCTTGATGCGTTTTCTGTCTATAGGTCATCTGTAGATGCTGCTAAAATGCTTCCTGCATGAGTTAAAGTAATGTCAACACAGAGAGGAAGAAGTTCTTCCTTATTGTGCACTTACTCAGAACAACAAAAGGCAAATTCACACAAGGAACGTGCAAAATGTCACAGTGACACATTAATGACTTTATTAAAATACTGAGGGAGACATTAACAGTGAACACAAATCAAACATGTCCACTTCCAGCAAAAGAAAATGTTTGTCATCAAAGTTGGCATATTAAGTAACTTTTTTAAATAAGTCTCTTTATCTTTTAAACCATGTGTTGAATCATTCAACAAACAAACAAACGATATAAAGTGTTTGTAGTAGAACAACTGAGATATTTTGGATCAAAAGTCTGTAATATATGTAAATGATCAGCAGATCGCTGATATCTGTAACGTCACTTAAACATCGGTGAACAGAGTGAACGTAGTATTTTACCCCACTGGTCTTTAACAAAACCCTAACTGTTCAAGGCCATAAACGGTCCAGTTATGAAAATGCAGGTCTGAACAGTACAGGGAGAAAAAGTCAATGTTTAGGATTGGTGAGTGGATTGAAGCTCTGTCTAAACCGTAGTGTTTTCTGAAATGAAGCCAATTATTAATTGTATTGGTGATGATTGGGTTGTTGGGACGTTTTGGAGGCTACTACAGGAAGCTGGGAGTAAATTATAGAGTGCAATCACCTTCCACCAAATATTTGCTGGTCTTCATGGCTCCACACACACACACGTCAAAATAATAAAAACAGAACAATTCAAAATGACATAATATCAATAAAAAATGAGGCAACAAACAACATGAATATAATCATCCTCTTTATCTCTAACTGCTCTGTTCCACTGTCACAGAGATCTTCAGTGGTGATATCTTCAGTTTATCCATGGTGAAAATGTACGGAAACATCCTCTCAGTGAAAGTGTGTGAAGGTGTGTATGTGTGTGTTAGTATCAGGATCAGAGAACGACAGCTCTCCTCTGTTCCAGTCCAGATTCACTCTGATCCTCTGGGGCTTCGTCTGCACTTGGAGAACTGTGCATGAAGCCGGTGAGTGTGCTGAATATTTATATACATCAAACCTTAATGTCCATAGTCCAGGCAGTGCGTATCCTGTCCTCTGGAAAGACTCTTCTAACACACCCAGTGACCATCCTGCACTGTCTCCAACCTCGACATCCCAGCTGTGAGTCCCTGAGTTGAAGCCCTCAGAGCCCAGGGCACAGCAGAAATCATCAAAACTCTCTGGATTGACAAGAAGCTGATGTCTCTCATCTCCCCTCACACTGGTCAGATCTTCTGACAGGATGAGTGTTGGATAAACAGTCTTTGGATCCAGAATCAGAGGAGTGTAGGAGACCACGTCCTTCATCTTGTTCCAGATGTTGAAGGTCAGGTTGCCCAGGTGTTTGGCCTGGTCTATCAGAGCTCCTGAGGGCAGCTGTGGATCATCCAGCAGGGGGCGCTGCTGGACTCTTTCCACTGCAGCTTTGTAGCTGAGCAGGAATGAGACGTCTTCAGCTCTCAGCTCCTCCTCTGTGGCTCTGACTGTGTCTGAAAGAGCTGCTATCTCTCTGCTCAGAGCCTCCATCTTCTCCTTCATCATCTGACTCTTCTGCTCCTCTTCCTCCCTCAGTGCAGCCATCCTGGCCTCCTCTTCCTCATATAGAAACTGGTGAAGCTTCTTAAACTGCTCCTTAATCTGCCTCTCTGTGTGTCGGGCCTGGACCTTAATGTGTTCTGCTGTTTGATCAAACTTCACTTTAACTTGTTCACAAACCTTTAACTTCTTCTTTACAGGCTCCAGAGTTTCCTGAAGTTCCTTCTTGTGTTGTCGTGCAGCTTCATCGATGGGTCTGAATCTGTGGTTGCTGTGTTTTTCTGAATCTCTGCAGATGAGACACACTGGCTGCTGATGGTCCAGACAGAAGAGTTTGAGTTTCTCAGAGTGCAGACTGCAGATACCCTCGGAAGCTCCTCGATCTCTCTCCAGCAAAAAGGCCTCACACAGGTTCTTTAACACCAGGTTACAAGGTGGTTTATCCCTTGAAGATACAGTCTTACAAACTGGACACTCCCGTGATTGCTTCTCTCTCCACCATCTCCTCAGACAGCCTTTACAGAAGCTGTGGCTACACGACAGAAGAACAGGATCTCTGAAGACGTCCTGACAGACCGGACAGCAGAGATCGTCCGCTAATCTGGAAGCCATTTTGTCAGTGAAGCTGAAAATACAGCAGACAGAAAATACAGTCAGTCAAGGCCATCAAGATAAATACATAGTGGCTACATTGGCCGCCATATTGGCCCTGGCAACTTTTCCATTACTCTGGGCTGAAAAAACAGATGCCTGACTCGCGCAGCTTGTTATACTATATATCCACTTAGAGGTGTGTGATATGAATTGTCTCCGATAATAATATTATTGTATTAACCATATGTGAGCATACATTATCAAGTGAGGTACATCACTGTCTTTGTTAAAAAAAAAAAAAAACTTGTCCACATGAAAGTGGTTTGGCTTGACAAAAATTAGTTTTAGTTAAAGACCACAAACTAACCACTAGGGCTGGGCTGATAGACGATGCCATCGTCCATCGGCGATGGCTGACAGATGGGCGATGGTTGAGCAGGCATCGTGATTGTAAAACAAGCAAAAGAAATCTACGTTTTTCACATTAAACCAGCAGGTTTTAATCACCAGGAACATAATTATATATTTTAAATATGCTTCGGACCTTCCTCAGAATTACTATGAACCTATGATACACAAGAAGCCTACACCTCAGGTAAACACACCGGCATGCCCCGCCTCTCTCTGTGCCCCCCCCCGCCTGTCTACTCCACTTGCTCCATCAGCAGCACGTTTTATAAAGTCTAACCCTAACACTAAAAGACACAGAACTCTTCTTTTTTCTGCATTTTTCCACCCACGATCCCGGCGCTTGTGGGCTTGTTAATTACGCAGCCTATCAAACACCCGAAACGAACATCTGCACCCTGTATCCAGCGCTTTACCTGGTCTGTGCTTGTAAAATACTTCACCTTATTGTATTGATGGTCTATTGACAATAATAATGTGCTTTACTATAATATATATTGTTGTACTACAACATCTCACTTTACTCTATATTACACTTTTATTCCATCAGTTCGAAATGTACCATATTTTTATCCGTTTTGCCACCACTAAGTCACATTAAACAAAGTACAACACTGGGCGCATGTGCTGTAAGTTTGAGTTTAATGAGTGTTGTATAGTTAAAATTTTTATCTGTATTGTATTATTATATCTATGTGTACTCATTCAGTACTTGAGAACTGTGTAACACCTGAATTTACCCTCTATATATGTATACTTGCTGCTAGAAAAATGTAGAAAGCGGGCTGACTGCTAGTGTCCCACTATTTGGTGCGTGTTTGCCAAATTAGAAATTACAAGTTTGTGACCTGCAGCACAAAAAAGCTACAATGTTGGATAGAAAAAGTAATTTCCACAATGTAGAAACCTTTCTGCACATTTCATAGACATATTGTGAAGTATGCCTGATAAACGTGTGTCTATTACAATGCTTTGTGATAATGAATTATTTTCCACCAGCGAATTAATTCAGTCCATGTAAGCAGCCTTAAGTTTTTACCATATACTGTATAAAAACATACTCCTCATATTAAAGCGTCAAGCAGCGAATATTTCTTAACTATAGAGATTCTAAGTCAGTGGTTCTCAAACTTCTTCATGTCAAGGAACACGAAAATGTGACAAATTAGACCACGGACCCCCATTTCATAAGATTTTGTCCCACTATTTCCAATCTGATAGGATTATGGGTTTTAGATGTTTTATTACAGGACATGTATGAAATCCATGACCAAAATAGTCATACATTGTGTCACTGTGTTACTCATGGACGGTGAAATTAAATTATTCCCCTTTTTGCTGGGGACCTCCGGGACCCTCTCAAGGACCCGTGCGGGTCCCCGAACCGCACTTTGAGAATCACTGTTCTAAGTAACTGAACACAAAACGTATTTTTATACTCCACGTAGATTACAAACCTTTTAAAATGAAAACGACTCATCTGTTTTACACTATTTGTTATGGTGCTTTTTATCCATTAAAACTGCAGCTCCCCGTTTCTCTTTTTATCTGTTTGCTCGGCCCAATATGGCGGCCGCGTTAACAAAGTATCGCTGCAACGGCCCGGAGCGAACAACACAGCGTCTTCCCCTCCCTCCTCTACGAAGTTACAACAAACTAACTTTTAGTGAAACTCACGTTCAGTGCGTGAAATCTCATCAAGTTGAAGCAGCAATGCTGCGATTTCCCTCCACGTTTCTCTCCTGTAGCTGAATTCACTCGAAGGAAGATGTTGTTGTTGTTGTTCTTCTGTTTTAATGGCGGGTCGCAACGGTCCATACCGCCACCTACTGTAACGGAGACTGTAGCATGACTTGTGGCCAAGAAACTTGTGGTTAGATGAGACTACTTCACATCATAATTTTAATTTAAAACAAAACAACATCATATAATATGACCTTATGTCCTTCAGGTATTCCACAACAGCTTTCTGTGTCCTTTACCGCATCTCTTCTTGTTCCCAACATCCTCAAGGTTTCATTTTCTTTCTGCCTTATCCTTTGATTTAGGCCTGATCATCTCCTCCCCATATTTCCTACAATGTCACAATATACGTTCTACATTTTCTGTGATTTTACATTCCAACCATTCATTCAATCAACAACAACAACTGTATGACTGTATGTTTGTCTACGTGTAGCACCTTTTCACCACAGCAAATTCCTCAAATGTGTAAAACGCTACTTGGCAATAAGGTCCGTTGATTGACTTTTAAATAACAAAAACAATGTTTTATTCACCTCTGTGTGGTAATTTTTATGAATTGAAACATATACAAGAATCATAACAATAACATTGCAAAACATACATATGGGATAGAAACGTACATATAGGGACAAAACAAAACAAAACAAAACAAAAGTTGGGGGCAAATATATCGCAGAAAATTTAATTTCTTTCTCATAGATTATAAGTGTTTCTTTTGTGTTTGCAAATTTACATTTGTGTATATTAAATTTATCCAAAAGCAACATAATGTTGATTAGGAAATAATGTTCAAAATTGTTTTACATAAACACAATGCCAAAACATATGCAAAGCAGTTTTTGTATGAGTCTCACAGAAGGTAAAGTTAGATTCAATGTCATTGTCAAACCTCTTGTAATGCTTGAGGTAGAATCTGAAAAATCTCAAGGATACTTCCTTAACCTTATTAACACAATTTTCTCCAGCACACATGATTAACAAACTGGTTCCAGTAAGTAGTGACATAAGGTATAGGTACTAGTTCGGTATTAGTCTTCTTCTTCTTCACGTTTTGTGATGTGTCTGATATGTTAATTTTGAACCACGTAAATGAATCTGATGATTTGGATGGATGAATGTTTAGTATCAATATTTTAGATGAAACTCTGTGTAAACCGTAGTGTTTCTGAACTAAATCCAAATCTTATAGTGCTACAGGAAGCTGGGAACACATTACAGAGTGCAATAAGCTTCTTCTTCGAAGTGGTTCCTGATCTTCATGTCTCCACGCACACAAACGAAAATTATAAAAAGACAAAATGACACAGTATCAAATAAAAAGGCTTAATAAACCAAACATGGAGATTTGAATCACAGTGAATAATTATTAAACTAAACTAAAAACTGAAAAACAAATAAACATGTCTTTTGGATGATGACACAACAAGAGGAGCAGCTAAGCTCAGAGACTTTAGTTGGGACTGGACTGTCCCCTTTAAGAAAGTAACATCGTGGTTATAATCATCCTCTTCATCTCTACCTGCTCTGTTCCACTGTCACACAGACCTTCACTGCTGATATCTTCAGTTCATCCCCAGTGAAAATAAATGGAAACATCCTCTCAGTAAAGGTGTGTGTGAAGGTGTGTATGTGTGTGTTAGTATCAGGATCAGAGAACGACAGTTTTCCTCTGTTCCAGTCCAGATTCACTCTGATCCTCTGGAACTTTGTCTGCACTCTGAGATCAGTGGATGAACCTGGTAGTGACCGTGCTGAGTATTTACCCCTATGCAACCCTATTCTCCATAATCCAGACTGTATGTCTCCCGTCCTCTGGACAGACTCTGCTAACACACCCAGTGACCACCCTGTACTGTCTCCGACCTCGACATCCCAGCTGTGAGTCCCTGAGTTGAAGCCCTCAGAGCCCAGAACAGACCAGTATTCATCAAACCTCTCTGGATTGTCAGGAAGCTGCTGTCTCTCTCCTCTCCCCTCAAGCTGGTCAGATCTTCAGACAGGATGAGTTCTTGATAAACAGTGTTTGGATCCAGAATCAAAGAAGTGTAGGAGACCATGTCCTTCATCTTGTTCCAGATGTTGAAGGTCAGGTTGCCCAGGTGTTTGGCCTGGTCTATCAGAGCTCCAGAGAGCAGCTGTCCCTCATCCAGCAGGGGGCGCTGCTGGACTTTCCACTGCAGCTTTGTAGTTGAGCCAATGAACAGGAACCAATCTTTGGTTCCTCAGATGCTACCCGGAAGCGGACAGTTTTTGACCACACACGTGCACACCTTCACAGTACACAGCCACACATGTACAATGAAGTTTATCTGGAGAACAATGGAAATGGATGAAAATAAATTGAAACCAATGTTTTTAACTGCAAACATGACTTGAACTTTAATTAATGACACATGGTAAAAAGCCATTTACTGAACCCCTGAACAGCACAACAGGGACTAAAGCTTGGGCTTAAGCCTCTACAACACCGTTTTACGAAGTTCACAAAACTCCATGATGTTTTTAAGGGAGTCTTGGGCAAATTATGGTGCGATCAGTTATACTAGCAAGTCTAAATTTCTTTCATTTGATTTGATTATTTAATGCTTGCTAGTTTCAAAACCAGAAGACAACAAACAAATATGACGACAGGTTCATTTCATCTAAAATATTAAAAGATTTTATTGTTTACATAATTGTGTTAACACACTAGATTCTGTTGATAATCAAGCATTTTTCTAGGACTGTATATGAATTGAAGCATATTCCTATAATCTCAGAGACACAACAGTTAAAATTAAGCATTTTTCCCTGGGCAGCTGTCAGAAGCATGTTATTTAGATCCTCATCAGCTTCTGCAAAGTAGTTGCTGGTCATGACGCAACACACACACACACACAATCAAAATAATAAATAAACAAACTTCAGTGACTTTAAGACGTAAGCATCTTGAATATAATCATCTTTTTTATTTCTACCTGCTATTCCAATGTCACACAGACCTTCAGCTGTGATATTTTCAGTTCATCCCCAGTGAATATAAATGGAAACAGCCTCTCAGTGAAAGTGTGTGTGAAGGTGTGTATGTGTGTGTTAGTATCAGGATCAGAGAACAACAGTTTTCCTCTGTTCCAGTCCAGATTCACTCTGATCCTCTCGGACTTCTTCTGCACTCTGAGAACAGAAAGTGGACCTGGTAGTGAACGCGCAGAGTATTTACCTTCATCAAACCCTATTACCCATAATCCAGACTGTATGTCTCCCTTCCTCTGGACAGACTCTGCTAACACACCCAGTGACCACCCTGTACTGTCTCCAACCTCGACATCCCAGCTGTGAGTCCCTGAGTTGAAGCCCTCAGAGCCCAGAACAGACCAGTATTCATCAAACCTCTCTGGATTGTCAGGAAGCTGCTGTCTCTCTCCTGGTCTCACGCTGGTCAGATCTTCAGACAGGATGAGTTCTTGATAAACAGTGTTTGGATCCAGAATCACAGGAGTGTAGGAGACCATGTCCTTCATCTTGTTCCAGATGTTGAAGGTCAGGTTGCCCAGGTGTTTGGCCTGGTCTATCAGAGCTCCTGAGGGCAGCTGTCCCTCATCCAGCAGGGGGCGCTGCTGGACTCTTTCCACTGCAGCTTTGTAGCTGAGCAGGAATGAGACGTCTTCAGCTCTCAGCTCCTCCTCTGTGGCTCTGACTGTGTCTGAAAGAGCTGCTATCTCTCTGCTCAGAGCCTCCATCTTCTCCTTCATCATCTGACTCTTCTGCTCCTCTTCCTCCCTCAGTGCAGCCATCCTGGCCTCCTCTTCCTCATATAGAAACTGGTGAAGCTTCTTAAACTGCTCCTTAATCTGCCTCCCTGTGAGTCGGGCCTGGACCTTAATGTGTTCTGCTGTTTGGTCAAACTTCACTTTAACTTGTTCACAAACCTTTAACTTCTTCTTTAAGGACTCCAGAGTTTCCTGAAGTTCCTTCTTGTGTTGTCGTGCAGCTTCATCGATGGGTCTGAATCTGTGGTTGCTGTGTATTTCTGAATCTCTACAAACGACACACACTGGCTGCTGATGGTCCAGACAGAAGAGTTTGAGTTTTCAGAGTGCAGACTGCAGAGAGCCTCTGAAGCTCTCTGATCTCTCTCCAACAAGAAGGCCTCACACAGGTTCCTTAACACCAGGTTACAAGGTGGATCTGCTCTTGAAGACATCGCCTTACAAACTGGACACTCACGCAATTGTTTGTGTCTCCACCAGTTCATCAGACAGCCTTTACAGAAGCTGTGGCTGCATGACAGAACAACAGGATCTCTAAAGATGTCATGGCAGACTGGACAGCAGAGCTCCTCCTCAGATCTGGAAGCCATTTAGTCTCTGAGAGAAGCAGAAAACACAGTAGACTGACAGTACAGTCATTCATGGCCATAGAGATAATTACATTGGCCACTGGATCATCGGCCATCATCGCCACCCATTCCTCCTCTACTGACTTTTAAATTGGGTCCAGTTTTTAGTCAGACTCACCTTCAGTGTGTGGAGCGTCAGCAGGTTGAAGCAGCAGTGTTGTAGTTTTCCACTTTTCTCTGCTGTAGCTGAACTCACTCAGAGGAAGCTGTTAGCTTGGTCAGAAAGTGAGATGTCTATTTTTCAGGCTGTTCGTCTCTTTAGCAAGGAAAGAGAACAAACTGTTTCCTTGTTTGTCTCTGATCATGTGAGGGGTGGAGCTTTGTCAGACCTCCTCTGCTGACCGCTGTTGCGTCACATGCAACACAGGGGTGTGTTTCTGTCCAAAGTATTGATTCAATGCTGAAAATGTAGACTCATAGTGTGCAGCAGGCTGTTGCCTGAGAACAGAGAGTTAACAGAGAGTTGACAACCACTGAATGTACACTTGTAGCTTTTATTTGGGTAAATAAACAAAACAATATTTGATGTAAATAAAAAGACAGAACAATGAATCACAAAGACTCTCTGGACTGGACTGCATATAGCCGGGGGGAAAAGGATGGATTGTAACACTGAGTGTACTTTTGTTTTGATATTTCTTGTATGCAAAAAGATGGTTTGGCTTGATGATGCAAAACATTAGGAGTCATCCTTTGGGAATAAGAAATGTTACGTAATCTGGACATTATTTTTCATGTAAGTTTTGACCTGATGGTGGTGTACAGAAAAGGTCATAAACAATCATCAGATATTCTAACTGATCAATATTGGCCTCCTTACACCACGAGTGAGGAATAAAACCTCTCAGCACGAGTCTTGTTGGAGTCTCACGGTGTGAGACACTCTGTGACACTAAATACTCAATTACACATGTGCCAAGTAGTGGAAGTGCTAGTAAACAAAATGAATATGTGCAGCATAAATTAGTAATAAAACAACACAGGCTTAAATACACATTTTGGCTCTTACAATGCATCAAAAGAGAAATGCATTTCATGATTGAGATAATGTTGTTTCAGTGAAGTTCAACATTTTGTCTCTAGTTTCCACAATGCTATTCATAATCAAACAAGAAAAAAAAATCATTTGAGACCCACTTGTGTACTGCAGGGTACTTTCTAAACCAGTTCATGTCTGCCCTGCTATGTATAGATAAATCCATTTGAATTAATGTGTTTTGTTGCACACAGACTAAAGGAGGCAGATATCGAAGAGAAAATGTGCTTCAGGACAGTGACTGCAACCTTGTTAGAGGACAATTCCGCTTGTAAAAACTGAACTCTGAGAGCGAAGATAAACATTACAGTTTCAGTCCACACCCATGAGAGTTTAACAGCTGTCACATAGTCATATCACCCCTGTTAGAAGGCAAACCCTCCATTCAACACTAATCAACTTCAAATAAAGTCTCCACACTTATTAACACTGGAGAGACAGTACTTTACATGTTTCTCTGACTCAATAATAGCCATATCCTGAAATTACTATATACTGTATATCATGTGTGATCATGCACACATGATATACAGTATATATCACCATTTTATCATTAGTTTTGCACTCTTAGCTGTGTAGCCTATATGTGTCACAGGCTGTCTTTCTGTTCTTCCTCTTTAACCACTTACCTGTTTTTCATAGCCATTTCATTGCCTTTTTCTATTCATCCACCAGATGCCCTCACTCACCTGTTCGTACTTCTCTTATCAGCCCTGCAGTTACCTGATTTTCCCTGGTTCTTTCAGCCTAACCTGGCTGTTTTGGACCTTGTTACCTGACCATTGGACTTTTAATTCTTTCCTGCTCCTTGTTGGATTTGTTTGCCGTCTCTGGATTGCCTTCTCTAGTTTTCACCCTTGCTTGTCTCCCCATGCTGCAAACCTGTGATCCTCCATTCACCTTCGGGCAACACTCACTTTCACTTTGGAACTTTGATTAATAATTAACTGTGACAAAAATTAGCGAACTTGTAGGTTCAAGGATTTGGAGTTTTACATAGAAGAGGTTTGTAATATATTAATTCTTATGCAACATTAAAGAAAAAGCATATATAAGCATTCATTCAAAAGATTAAAAAAAACAAAACACACAAGAAACAAACTAAAATGCACTAAAGAACAAAGGTGTGTGTGCGTGTGAAAGAATGTATGTCTGTTTCTTTGTTTTGCCTCCATATTTCTCAAATGCACCAGCCTGAACACACGTGGTCCGAAGCAAAGAAAGCATGTGAAGCGAAGGCTTTAAGGTTCTTCTCCGCAGTGTGCGGTTGTGTTTAAGGCCAAATTAAAGTATATTTGGCCAGTACTGTATATATACAAAGACAGTGTCTATGTGGAGCATAGGTTTAAATCCAGAGTTTGGGACTTTTGCATAGAAATTTACATCTGTTACATTCAAGCCGTTGCCAAATGAGTTCACGCAATACGGATTAAGTATATACAAAAGTTCTACATTGCAGGTTTAACTAACATGAACTTAGCGGTGTGGTTAAGGTCTTTGTTACACAATAACCTCACAATAACCAGTGAAACGATCACAACAACAAACCTCAGAAAAAACTAATCAATACATGTACACTGATGAAAGTTATACAGTCCTGTACTTAGCCAAGTCCACTGTTACTCTATGCTATGCCTAGTTAAATGTTCAGTGTGTAATATTTCTGAGGATCTATCGACAGAAATGCAATATAAGATCCATAACTATGTTTTCAGTGGTGTGTAAAGGCCTTTCATAATAAACCATTATGTTTTTATTACCTTAGAATGAGTCATTTATATCTACATAACCGCAGGCACCCCCTTCCATGGACGTCGCCACGTTGCATCGTCATGTTTCTACAGTAGCTGAAAACGGACAAACAGAGCTACGGAGTGTGTTTCGTCACTAAGTTCTTCTTGTTCAACTTCCGGTAGAATTCAGGCAGAGCAGACACTCATCACTATGTTGAATATATACGTTAGAAGAAGTAGTAGTAATAATATACAGCAGGTGTCTGCAAATACGTTTTGCATCGAGCAATATTTTCAACCATGAGAGGGTGGATGAGAATATAAGCCATAATACTAATTTGCATTAAGATGTTATTTGGTTAGCTCAGTCAGTAAGGTGCAGGACTTATCCCACCTTGAGACAAGTTTTTTTTCTCTCTCTCTTTAACAAATGGATTCTGCAGGGAATGTTTCTCAGATCACAGCATGTGCTGCAATGTTATTGTTTTGCTGTTTGATCAGCATCCATCAACCTACGGACGCTTTTGCATTTCCCCAGTATCTCCAGGCAGAGGACATTTAGGGGAATCACGTTCTCTGACGACTCTTTCAGAGGTGTGTCAAGCAGGCTACAGACTCTTTTAATGTCGATCAGAATTTTTCAAAGTAAAAGCTCAGTTGAACTCCAAATACTGCATTACAGTAAACAAGCTTCTCGCACTTATTTTGTAGGCAAAACCACTAATGAGGAAGTGAGTAACTGTTGCTGTGATGAGTGAGATCTCTTTCAGCACCCTCTATCAAAGTATGTCTTTATTTATATTTCATGTTGGCGGACAGTTTTGGCGATGGTCCATTATCACAGAGAGAAGTAATGCGTTTCCCTTGTGAGTGTCTGTATAAACTTTATCTAATGTGTAGTTTTTAATAGACTGTCTACTTGACTGGCTACTCTCTGCTGTCTCAGAAGAGACATCTTTTGTGCTGTGTCAGCCACCGTAGCTGTCGCTCTTTGAAAGGTTAGGGGGCAGTGGTAGACTGGACAAATGGTTGCACTTTACAACCCTCACGACTAGATGCCACTAAATCACACTGAACCTTTAGGTAGGGCTGAATGATTTTGGAAAATAATCTAACTGCGATTTTTTTAAAACAATATTGCGATTGCAATTTAATATGCAATTCATTTTTAAGCTCTTTACCTTCTGTATTATTCAGAATGGACAAGCAGTAAATCAGTGTATAGTCTGACCAACACAATATTAGATAGAACATAAACTGTTCTTTCTTGTGGGTCAGGCCTGTGTTATGATGAATTAGGTAGAATTATTATTATGAGCAATAGGGGAGAAGATATATCAAATTAAAATAATATGAGAAAGATAATTTGAGTCAAATTATGGCATTAAATAATGATATAATATCATCAGGTCAGCCTACCTACAGACCACAAGAAAAACTAACTAACCACAGTGTGTTATACAGTAAGCACTAAATAAAAACCCACAGTTCAACCACCAATTAATGAGACCTTATCTCAGTTCTAATCTCCTTGGTGTCCATCTTTCTGTATCCCAGTAAGCAAACAAAAAAAAGTTGGCTAACGAAAAAAAACAAGTGACGCCTCTCGTGTTTAATAGACAAGCTTAGTCTAATTCTCCGACAACACCGGAGTTTCCCCGAACCCTCTGAAGCTGGTGAGCAGCGCACTGGCTGTAACCAGACTGTAACTCGGGACAGACTGGGCCTCTTTCAGACTTGTGCGTTTGGTTTGAAACTGCTGACTAGTGGCTGTGTGTGACGCAGGTGCCGATCGCCACAGTACGCTTATCGTACTACACGTGTCTTTCTGTTGTGCATTTTTCCTGTCCGACGATTGCACCCACCACCACCAGTTACCCGTGGTTGCTACTTTCACTCCCTGTTTGACACTAAAGTTTATGTAGTGTCAGCTTCTGTCAAGCTTCAGGCCATTTTACAACAAGAAGGCAAGTTACAGCGTAACATGTAGACGAAGCATCAACTTCGTCCGCAGACTGCTTTCCTCTTGGGTGTCTTGTGACCAAAGTGCAATCGCAGCCTTTGCGATTAGAAAATATTTTTATTACATCGCGATAATCATCGCAATAATCATCACGACAATCATCGCGATTACATCGCAAACACAATGAATCATTCAGCCCTACCTTTAAGTTAATTTACCAGTCCATAGAGGAAGGGAAATTGCTTTGGTTTGCTACTTGTGAGCTGGCCTTTCCAATGTGGATGGGCCACAGGGAAGAATCATGGTTCTGATTTTAGTCTTTTGCTGTCCCATGTTCCGATTGTGTAGATGGAGGAACTAGTCCCTCCGTCTGTTGACTGACAAATGGTTGCCAAAATCTGGGCCCATGGGAATTCCTGGGGGTTGTGCGAGACTGGGTTCAATGCCTCAATTTCATAACAAAAGTTCAGTTTGGTCATACAAATGAACACCTTGTGAACCACCAATCTGTAAAGTCTCTGTGGTCCCAACACAGCAATGAGTCGACAATTTTCCAGTCTACTAACTTCCAGCATGCTATAGCATCCAGCCTGCATCCCTGTTTCAGCAGCCAAGTGCCACAAAGTCTCAGCTGCCCATCACCACATAGATCCAGCTGCCCAGCGGCACCGAGCTGCCACTAGTCCTTTCTGGTTCCCAATCAGCGGTCCAGCCAACTCTTCGTTGGCTGGCCAATTGACTCCTGCTCCTTCTTTCCAGTCTGCAGCACGGCCGACACCTGTTCCTACTAAGATGCAGCAGTCTTCAGTGCCCTAACTACAGCTATATCCTGCCTCTGAGCTTTGGCAATCCACTGTTCCTGAACTGCAGCTGTCACTAGTTCCTCTTATGTTGCAGCAGCAATCACCAGTTCCTTCTAAGTTGTGCCAGTCACCTGTGGCTGTGCTTCTTCAGCCTCCTGTTTCCTGGCTCAGACTGCTCATCTGCCTGTCTCCCAGCTGCCGGACACTGGTCCTGCACTTCAGCTCTGAACTTCACACGCCAGCCTCCAGTCCTGATCTCCAGATGCCAGATGGCCTGCCACAACCTGCCACTGAATTAATTTTTAAATAAACATATCCTTGGAAAAATGACACAAAAGGAGGAACAGGTTAAATCTTTTCCACTGTCACACAGACCTTAAGTGGTACAATCTTCATTTCATCCCCAGTTGTAATGTATGGAAACAGCCTCTCAGTGAAAGTGTGTGTGAAGGTGTGTATGTGTGTGTTAGTATCAGGATCAGAGAATGACAGCTTTCTTCTGTTCCAGTCCAGATTCACTCTGATCCTCTGGGGCTTCTTGTGCACTCGGAGATCAATGAGTGCACCTGGTAGTGATCCTGCTGAGTATTTACCTTCATAGAACCCTATTGCCCATAATCCAGATGGCATATGTCCCTTCCTCTGGACAGATTCTGCTAACACACCCAGTATCCATCCTGAACTGTTTCCAACCTCGACATCCCAGCTGTGAGTCCCTGACTTAAAGCCCTCAGAGCCCAGAACAGAGCGGTGATAATCAAACCTCTCTGGATTGTCAGGAAGCTGCTGTCTTGTTTTGTCTCGTCTCACGCTGGTCAGATCTTCAGACAGGATGAGTCCTGGATGAGCGGTGTTTGGGTCCAGAATCAGAGGAGTGTAGGAGACCATGTCCTTCATCTTGTTCCAGATGTTGAAGGTCAGGTTGCCCAGGTGTTTGGCCTGGTCTATCAGAGCTCCTGAGGGCAGCTGTGGATCATCCAGCAGGGGGCGCTGCTGGACTCTTTCCACTGCAGCCTTGTAGTTGAGCAGGAATGAGACGTCTTCAGCTCTCAGCTCCTCCTCTGTGGCTCTGACTGTGTCTGAAAGAGCTGCTATCTCTCTGCTCAGAGCCTCCATCTTCTCCTTCATCATCTGACTCTTCTGCTCCTCTTCCTCCCTCAGTGCAGCCATCCTGGCCTCCTCTTCCTCATCTAGAAACTGGTGAAGCTTCTTAAACTGCTCCTTAATCTGCCTCTCTGTGTGTCGGTCCTGGACCTTAATGTGTTCTGCTGTTTGATCAAACTTCACTTTAACCTCTTCAGAAACCTTTAACTTCTCCTTTAAGGACTCCAGAGTTTCCTGAAGTTCCTTCTTGAGTTGTCGTGCAGCTTCATCGATGGGTCTGAATCTGTGGTTGCTGTGTTTTTCTGAATCTCTACAAACGACACACACTGGCTGCTGATGGTCCAGACAGAAGAGTTTTAGTTTCTCAGAGTGCAGACAGCAGAGAGCCTCTGGAGCTCTCTGATCTCTCTCCTGCAAGAAGTCCTCACACAGGTTCTTCAACACCCGGTTACACGGTGGTTCATCCCTTGATGATCTTCTATTACACACTGGGCACTCAGGTGTTTGTTTCTGTTTCCACCAGCTCCTCAGGCAGTCTTTACAGAAGCTGTGGCTACATGACAAAATAACAGGATCTCTAAAGATATCATGACAGACCGGACAGCAGAGATCCTCCTCTGATCTGGAAGCCATTTTGTCTCTGAGTGAAGCTGAAAACACAGCAGAGAGAAAGTACGGTAAGTCATGGCTCCCCTTCCTCCTCTACTGACTTTCAATGACATTTGCTTTGATCTTGATTTGTGTTTTTAGTCAAACTCACTGTCCACGAGTGAAGTGTCAGCAAGTTGAAGCTGTAGTATTGTAGTTTTCCCACTTTCCTCTCCTGTAGCTGAACTCAATAAAAAGTTGTTAGGGTGCATGAAGTTGAATCTGATAATCTGTTTTTCAGTTTGTGCGTCTTTCTGTAGTGAGGAAGCATAACAACCTGTTTCCTGGTTTGTCTCAGGTGAGGGGTGGAGCTTTGTCACACCTGTTCCAATGAATGGTGTGTTTCAGTCCAGTGTATTGGCTTTGTTGGAGTCTCACCATGTGTGACGCTCTGTGACTCTTAATGGTCACAGAATGTTATAATGTGGAGATCTGCAGGACTACAATTTATGACTTCTGACAAATTGTGAGAGAGACTTATACTATACAATGAAAGACTACAGAACATGACTAGAATAGATTTGTATTATTTATTTTATACCATGTTACCATGTCAGTTACATAAATATATGCTCCCACTGGGTTGTAACAGAAACACTCATGCATGTTAGGCAGGTTTAAAGGGGTCAGAAATAGAAAATAGTAAGTCTTCACTGAATCACAAATGTTTTATCACAGTCAGGGGGGGAACAGGAAACCAAGGGATTGGACAGGATCAGTTCAATGAAATTTGATTATTACATTAAAACGTTTTACAGGAAGGTGAGACAGGCAATGGTCAAAACCAGGAAAGCAGTCCAGCAAGAACAAACAAAACTAAAGGAGCAGGCAGATAATCCAAAATCTAACAATTAAGGCAGAATGTCCAAAAACGAAGCATAAGTACGAAACACTGGGGAGCAGGAAGCGTCAGACGGGTTCAAAAGTGTGGGTCTTGACAAAAATAATTTCTCCATATAAGAATACACAAACAGTGTCCAGGTAGTTAATCTCTCATTAATAGAACATTCATCTTTAAGCTTCAAGAAAGATCTCATGTTTTAAAAAGCCAATTTTTTGTTTAGTTTGTACTGTCCTGGTTAATTAAAGCAGAGTACAGGAACACAAGGGATTGGACTCAGATGCAGACATCAAGGCAGAGAAGGTCCCTGTTCAGCAAAGGTCAGGCAAGAATAATCATTTAGATAGGATCAAAGACTTTATTTGCTTGCAGTAGTTAGGTTTGGCTGTGTTCTGGGACCCCCCTGCCTCTCCATGTGCCTTTGTGGACCACAAGGTTGGGAGCGCACCTCCCCGCCCTTAGACATGGCTACGTGTAAAGCCATAGGACAGGGAGAGCACACCTCTCGGCCCTTCCATGGGTTTGCGTGGGAAAGCCATAAGGCGGGTGGTGCACCTCCTTGCCCATCCATATGCACACATGGAAATCCCGGGGCAGAGAGAGCAGCAGCAAAGACGCCCCCTAGGGTCCAGAACAGAACAGCGTCAATAAATAGAGAAGGTTAAACAGGCTCTAGCAGCTTAAATAATTTGCCTTCAATATCTTTGCCAATTAAAGGGAAATCAGCTGAGTTGTCAGCTGATGTGGGCATGACTTTACATGGGCACTGGAATTTTGAGCTGAGCTTGACTTTGTTGCTTGCCTGAATGAATGCAATGCTAGATAACCAGTTAGGCAAGGTTCAATGAACTAGTCCACAAAAATAGAAAACACTGGGAACTGCAGGTGAACTTGAACATAACACAACAGTGTAGGAAATATGATGATGGTGAATAATTTGAATTTTCTACACAGAACTGATGCCCTGCATATGTCCTCTGTCGGCTAAACAAGCTCTTTGAGGGCTCAGAGAAAAACTTCTGTTTTATTTCCACATGCTGATTTTGTTGTAAGAACTGAACTAACAAGAAGTAGTTACACACGTCCGCAAATTTTTTTTTTTACCTCTCTTTTCCAGGAATGCACTGATCACATTCACACTGGAAGCTGCCCAGTACAACCACAGTCTGGTCTGCTGGCCACTAAGTAGCTCCAAAAAAGCTCCACTGGAGCTGTTGGGGTTATGGGCCTTGCTCAAGGGCACCTCAGTGGTGGTAAATGAGAGAGGGCAAGCACTGCTTGGTTTACTTTCCCTGGTCCAGTCACAAGCTTGCTCCTCTAACCTTTGGGCCACCACTACAGACAAATGTGATGTGTGCCTGGTCTCGGCTGCTTCTTCATTTCTCCTCATTTCACGATTCTCAGGAAAGGAGACATTCCTGTTACATTTACATGTATTCATTTAGCTGACGCTTTTATCCAAAGCAACTTACAATTGCTATACATGTCAGAGGTTGCACGCCTCTGGAGGGGTTAAGTGTCTTGCTCAGGTGGATGTGTTGCAGTGGGGAATTAAACCTCGGCCTCTCACACCAAAGGCATGTGTCTTAACTATTGCGCCATCAACACCCCTGTTATCCCAACAATAGGGACAGTGTATTGATACTGACATGTACTGATTTTATTTGACATCTCATTTTCTGTAAAAGTATATGTATGCAAGAAGATTTGTATCGTTGTATATTAATAATGACGCATGTGACAATGAATTTAAGACTTTTCAGACTGAATTAACAGTCTACTACTTCAACTACTTTTTGCAAAGTGGATCATTATATTATTCATGTATTTTGTGTTTCATTTCTTTTAGCACCTGATATGGCCATGTTTTCAAACATGGGAGAATATAATTGGTAACTGTTACAGACTCAAGTGGCTCAAGCCCAGAGATTAGGAGAGGAACTCAAATTTAATTGAGAACCAGGCCAAAAGAAAGAACAGATTATGTGCAAACAAACAAAACATATTTTAACAAGCATAATGTGCATTTCCTAAAGTCAATGCATGTGAGAGCTTTCAGCTGTCAGCTGTGACTGCTCCCACTGCTGCTGCAACATGCTGCTCCATGCTGCATCAGCAATTCTTAAGCGCCCCCTACAGGTTTACCTAAAATCCATCATATGCCATAGACCTGCTCAGCAATATTATCTGTTCAGTTTTTCTGGTTAAAATGCCCTGAACGTAATTCAATCCGTCAGTCTTTGGATCTGAAGGGCAAAACCTTAACCACTTAGAATAATGCTTTTAACATTTTCCTTTGATCTTGTGTGCTTAAATCACATGTAATGCCTCCAAATAACCTAAAGAGGGCACTTGATGACCAGAAATGCCTGGCATTCGACTGTTTTGCTTGTAAATATATTTTCTGTGATGTCTAGTTCACTGTTGCAGAATAAAGCCTAGTTCACACTACACGATTTTAAGCCCGATCTGCCGGTCAGCGAGCTCTGTGACCGTCAGGCTGTGATCAGGAGTAAATCAGTGATCGAACTGCTGCGGTCACCAGTCGTTATGTGTGAACTACCGGACGACGCGTTAAAACGCATCCCCAACACATTTCTGACACATCGCCAGATATCTAGCATGCCAAATATCTGGAAGAGTCGGCCGACTCGACTTCCACATCCAGCCAATGAGAGCAGGCAGCTGGCAGAGCAGGCAGCTACTTTTTCACCGCAAAATACTTTTTACTCCCCTCCAGCTCTCTCTGTAGCATGGACAATCTCTGCTACCTGCGTGTCTGAATCCACTCTATCACCCATATTCTTTGTCTTTATAATTGCTATCTATAATAACAAACAACAGCTGTGTTTTCTTGACAAAAGGTGGTTTGGAGACCAGCTGTTGGGTGACACAGCCACTGTCAGCTCATGTAGTGTGTGACCTTCTGTCACTAATAAGTCACGTAGTGTGAACGCCACGACGACTTCAAGACCCCCGTCACAAGACAGCAAGTTGTGTAGTCTGAACAGCACAGCCATTGGCCGATGCAGAAAGTCGTGTAGTCTGCACGAGCCTGAAGACACAGAAAGCGACTATAATCTCATGAAAGACTTCTTTCAATGTAAACAATGATTGCATTTCTAAAGACTAATAATATTCAAATTAAAAAACAACCACAGCAAATCAGGGAACTGAATATTTTGTTGGCAGCATTGCGTTCAAACACCATACAGCTATGACCAGGTCTGGAAAGATAAGTGCTGGTTGGAAGAACAACACTATAGGCCTACTGAGCTGTAGGACAAGACCTGTTATGAAGCTCACAATTTGAAGAAGAAAGAAAGATATTCACAAAGAAGGAGTTTGTTGGAGACAGAGGCGCGATTCTCTGCAAGAGGGAAACACCAGCTCCAAATAACAGCGCAATAGGACTATTATGTGATTGTAATTAATCAGAAGGTTGCTGTTATTTTAAAATATTACATGTGTTGATGGAGATGGGAATGGTTGTAACACATCCAATTTCTCTAATCAGGAACAAGTTACAAATCACCTGATTTACTCTACACATGGTTGAGACCTTATTCCACTTAGGCACCCTGACCCTTTGTTAATAGCATTGCCTGCTTTGCAGTTAAACTCATAACCTAAATCATGTTTATGGTGTGTCTATGTAAATACCTTTCATGCATGTTGTTAGTGCAAATTTTTTAGCTGTAAGGTAGTTCACATCGAGTATGCTGTGTCTGACACACACACACACAGTAATGCTTAATTGTTTTATGATTAAATGTTGGTATAAGACCTGTAGACTTCTCTCTATGACAACTGGCTAAACTCCAGCAGTGTCATATGTCACTCACCACTTTGAGGATGCAAGACAAAAACACACAAACACACACACACACACACACACACACACAAATACTCAGTCAGTGCACATTTGCACATTTTGATGAAATGTTTTATTTTGTTTACAGCTATGACTAAGTAGTGACTAAGATACTTGGACCACCACTACACACACAATATTTATGTTAAAAAATTTAGGATAAGTGTTGACTAAATAGATTTCAATATCATATCATGTTTTTGTCAGTGTAGCAACTAACCAAGACTTTGGGGTGAATTGTAACGTTTTACTCGTTGTGTTTAAGCCTAAACCAGGTATTTAAACATAAATAGCAGTTGTACTATTTACTAGCAGACACATGAAATAGTATCACATTTTGAATGCACTGGCTTAAAAGAGCTCATACAGACAGACATTTCTAAAAATGTTACAACCATCCCCGATGCCCACTTTGATATTGATCTGTGCTAATTATCAGGAAGGTGAATATCAGCAATTAGTTTTATTACCGTATTTATCATCAAACGTTGTTCCAGACCGAGTCATGAGACAGAGACACGCATGAGGAAGAAGCTTGATAGCTGTCGAAGTCCTTTGAAGATTTAACATCCCTTTAACACCAATGTAAAGACAATAATAGACACTTGAAGACTTCTTTCTGCGT